CATTTTCAAAGTCAAGAGTCAGAGGCAATGTCCACATCTCTCAGCAGGAGGACGTTAATGGCCCAGGCGACTCCCTGTTGAGCTCATAGCCCTGCAGACCCTCAGCCAACATCAAGCTTCCCCTTTGCAGTGACCAATGAGCTTCTTCACACACTGAAAAATTGAAAAGCCATTGTCTGGCTCAGATTTTCACATGGAGACTGTTCCATGGTGGGCTCTCCTGCACTTCTGTTGTTAAAGAATGTAGATCTTTTTTTCCCATTAAATCTGCACATATAATTTGTATTGTAATGGTACGGTTACATTTACTGTTCATGAGTGAAATCCAGTCATTTCAATTCAAAACTTTTTTGTGGGAGTGAAAAGATTTCCCCACGCAGATTTGCAAATTGGTTCAAGTTGTTCACACAGATTCGCCACAAAATGGTTTTAATGTGATCACACCTACAGTATGTAAACACTTTGAAACAACGCGACTTTAAAGGGACAAACACATTTCTGCTGTTCAGCGAATTTTCACAAACAAAATCTAATCATCTAAATATGAATCCACGAGATCAGGAACTTGGTGGGAAGGTGAAAATTCACAGAAAGCTTGGTTGGTGAAAGTGACTCGTGAGTTACACTGCTACAAAATGGCCTGGTTTCACAGACAGGGCTTAGACTAAGCCAGGATTAGGCCATAGTGCAATTAGGAAATTTAATAGATCGTTAAAGATCACGAACACGATTCAAACACCAACGTGATTCTATTCTTAAATTACAATGATTCGTCTGTTTCACTCCTCAACCTTTGACGTGTGCGATCAATGTTGTGATCACTTGGTTCGTCCGTGCAGCATATACGATCCCATCACTGTGATTTGAACATTTAAATTTGCGTTCGCGCTGCCGTTGACCTAAAGAGAGCAGCTGTCATCTGTCATGAATGAAACAGATTCAGTCTTTTCAGCCACACAGTATAATTATTTCTGTGTTACAAACATTCAAATCACTGGGATAAAAGTTTATAGTTCAGATATAAAGTGTGTGTACGATGTGTATGGTAGCGATTAAAATAGAATAAATCCCCTTTTGAAAATGATTTGACACTTCAAATGAAGATTATCGATTACATTGTTACGCCAGTAGGTGGCGAAAAGGGGCTGTTAAAATGTATTTGTCTTTGAATCATACAAGACATTCGTTCAAGAACGCGGATTCATCCAGTAATGAAACAAGTACATCTTGAGTGAGTCATTTAATCATTAATTCATAAATTACATGTGATTTTGTTTAGTTGTCTAATGTTTTTTTCTTCAGAATCATGCAGGGCGGTGGATATTTGTGGAGGTCAGTGTGGATATTGTGGATGAGTTCTTCTGTGTCATCACGTTCTATCAGTTCTACAGCTTCAGTTTCAAAACTTTCACGCTAACACATACAGCTGTGTCCTCACCACAGTGCAACAGTGAAAAGGGACCCCTTTCAAACAGTGTCACGTTCCGAATGTTGTTTAAGCGGTATTTAAAAAATTCCTATCATAACAAAAATAAACACTGGTATTCGGTATGAACCGGTATAACGCCCAGCACTAATTCAGCTCCAATAAATGGTTTGCAAAAAAGAGACACAGGATATATGTTTGATATCATTATTTAATCACATTGGAATAAAAAAGAATCGGAATCGATAAGCTGATTTGGAATCGGAATTGATCAAATTCAAACGATACCCTACCCGTAAGACCTCCGTTCATCTTCGGAACACAAATTAAGATATTTTTGATGAATTCTGAATGCTCTCTGACCCTCCCATAGACAGCAATATAATTACCATGATCAAGGTCCAGAGACGTAGCAAGGAGATCGGTAAAATAATCCATGTGACATCAGGGGTTCAACCGTAATTTCACGAAGCTACGAGAATACTTTTTGTACGCAAAGAAAACAAAAATAATGACTTTATTCAACAACTCGGCTCCTCCGCGTCACCCTTGTGCCGTTTTGGAGAATATCCACTGAACGCAAACAGCGTATGCTATTCTGTATCAGCTGCGCCACGCGGATTATTGGAAAATTTATTATTTTACCGATCTCCTTGCTACATTTCTGGACCTTGATCGTGGTAATTTCATTGCTGTCTATGGAAGGGTCAGAGAGCTCTCAGAACTCATCAAAAATATCTTAATTTGTGTTCCGGAGATGAACGGAGGTCTTACGGGTTTAGAACGACATGAGGGTGAGTAACACAACATTGACATGATAGAACACAGAACAGAACATGACAGAATTTTCATTTTTGGGTGAACTATCCCTTTCATACTACTTACATTCACATCCCATATAGAACATACTTTTTTGAAGAGATTCCCGGTTGAAATATTCAAGCTTACCATTCCCTCTTCACCATGGAACCGCACTGCAATGCCTTGTTTGAGTTTCTCATTGGAGGACTTGGATACAACGTCACAGCTGCTTCGGAATATTGAGTCTGAAATACAATGATAAAAAAATGAACGAAGGACGTGAAGGCTGAAAGATGGAGGAGCTTTTGAACAGATAATGCAGAAAATGTGCTACCTCTGTGAACAAGAAGAATGTCATTTTCATTAACTGGCCGGTGCACCATATCTGAGTCTGGCTGTCCGGCCAGAAGATGTTCATAAAACCACTCACACCTGTCTTTAAATGGCCCTTTTAATACATGTTAACCAGGAGTCACTCTCATTTATAATCGCGGCATCGTCTGATAAAATCAACATGCATCTACACTAAAGAGCGGCTATGCGGTTGTTTTGGCTATATTAATTTTTTGTCTCATGCAGCACTGCCTGCGTCTGAGTAACAAACTAAAAACAACTACAAACAAAAAAGTGCATGTGATATTAACAGACGAACTACGCTCATATTTATAATTCCAAACAATCAGTAAGCGACAGGTGCTAGGAAACGCTGTTTTGTACTCATTTATTGAGGAGTCGGCTGCGTTGCGGCCAACTGAATGCTCACTGCACAGAACAGAAGCCGAGAGAGGCGACACTTCTCCGGGAAAGTCAGACCTCGCGTTCGCGGGACAGCACTGGCGAAATCTTCCAACTAAACCATAGCTATGGTTTATCCAAAAAAGTCGCTAGGTTTGTCAGTATGAATATTCTATGGAAAAAAGCTGCTAAAAGGGTCTGAAAGTTGCTAAATCTAGTGCTAAAGTCGCGCTCGTGTGCGAGAGACGCGGGAGCTGATGGCAGCGGGCGGTGGATATTTGTGGAGGTCAGTGTGGATATTGTGGATGAGTTCTTCTGTGTCATCACGTTCTATCAGTTCTACAGCTTCAGTTTCAAAACTTTCACGCTAACACATACAGCTGTGTCCTCACCACAGTGCAACAGTGAAAAGGGACCCCTTTCAAACAGTGTCACGTTCCGAATGTTGTTTAAGCGGTATTTAAAAAATTCCTATCATAACAAAAATAAACACTGGTATTCGGTATGAACCGGTATAACGCCCAGCACTAATTCAGCTCCAATAAATGGTTTGCAAAAAAGAGACACAGGATATATGTTTGATATCATTATTTAATCACATTGGAATAAAAAAGAATCGGAATCGATAAGCTGATTTGGAATCGGAATTGATCAAATTCAAACGATACCCTACCCGTAAGACCTCCGTTCATCTTCGGAACACAAATTAAGATATTTTTGATGAATTCTGAATGCTCTCTGACCCTCCCATAGACAGCAATATAATTACCATGATCAAGGTCCAGAGACGTAGCAAGGAGATCGGTAAAATAATCCATGTGACATCAGGGGTTCAACCGTAATTTCACGAAGCTACGAGAATACTTTTTGTACGCAAAGAAAACAAAAATAATGACTTTATTCAACAACTCGGCTCCTCCGCGTCACCCTTGTGCCGTTTTGGAGAATATCCACTGAACGCAAACAGCGTATGCTATTCTGTATCAGCTGCGCCACGCGGATTATTGGAAAATTTATTATTTTACCGATCTCCTTGCTACATTTCTGGACCTTGATCGTGGTAATTTCATTGCTGTCTATGGAAGGGTCAGAGAGCTCTCAGAACTCATCAAAAATATCTTAATTTGTGTTCCGGAGATGAACGGAGGTCTTACGGGTTTAGAACGACATGAGGGTGAGTAACACAACATTGACATGATAGAACACAGAACAGAACATGACAGAATTTTCATTGAACGCAAACAGCGTATGCTATTCTGTATCAGCTGCGCCACGCGGATTATTGGAAAATTTATTATTTTACCGATCTCCTTGCTACATTTCTGGACCTTGATCGTGGTAATTTCATTGCTGTCTATGGAAGGGTCAGAGAGCTCTCAGAACTCATCAAAAATATCTTAATTTGTGTTCCGGAGATGAACGGAGGTCTTACGGGTTTAGAACGACATGAGGGTGAGTAACAGAACATTGACATGATAGAACACAGAACAGAACATGACAGAATTTTCAATTTTGGGTGAACTATCCCTTTCATACTACTTACATTCACATCCCATATAGAACATACTTTTTTGAAGAGATTCCCGGTTGAAATATTCAAGCTTACCATTCCCTCTTCACCATGGAACCGCACTGCAATGCCTTGTTTGAGTTTCTCATTGGAGGACTTGGATACAACGTCACAGCTGCTTCGGAATATTGAGTCTGAAATACAATGATAAAAAAATGAACGAAGGACGTGAAGGCTGAAAGATGGAGGAGCTTTTGAACAGATAATGCAGAAAATGTGCTACCTCTGTGAACAAGAAGAATGTCATTTTCATTAACTGGCCGGTGCACCATATCTGAGTCTGGCTGTCCGGCCAGAAGATGTTCATAAAACCACTCACACCTGTCTTTAAATGGCTGAGAAAAGAGAGGTAAACAAAGACCTATTAAAACATGATTACATTCATTAAACCCTGCTGCACTTGCATCCTAGATGAATAGACCAGAAACATATTTTACACAAGGAGGCAAACGCAGAACTGAACGCTTGTTCAGTGCATTGCAAGCACACAGCCCCACTGATCGTCAACTTCAGTAGGTCAAACTAAATATTATATGAGCCATTTTCTTTTCTTTTATGAGGTTTGCAATTTATGCAATCATATTAGCATGTCTACAGTTGTTACAGTCTAATTTGTGTGATTTTTGTGATTTCTATCAAATGGAAATTAAATGGATACATTTCTAAAACTAATACATAAAATCACTACACCAGGGTTGAAAACTTCAGAATGTTAAAAGTCTAAATTAAATTGTCACTCACTAGATCATAGTTAGTTGGTTCACTGATGTCACTTTTTGAGCAGTACAAATAGTATTAGTAATATTATTGTTAATATTAAAATAAGTTTTGTAATAAGTGGAAAATTATCTGGCAACAGAGCTGTGCAAAAAAAAGTGGGGCACAGCTTAAATATTATATTTTTGACAATATTTTGATCCTGTTAGCATGTCTACTGAATTTTATTAAATGAAAATTAAATGTAAAACATTATAAAATAAAATACAACCTACATTAGGATTGACAACTAAAATTGTATTTAATAATATTGTTTATATTAAAATATATTTTGAAATGGGTGGGAAAAAAAATCTAAAAACAGAGCTGTGCAAAAAAAAAAAAAAGAAGAAGAAAAAAAAAGCTGGAACACAACTAAATATTATATTTTTGACATTTACGTTTAAAGTTTACTTAAGTTATTAAAATATCCTTTTCTAAAATGTTATACTCAATGGTATTCAGCGATTAAAACTGTATAGCAGTGCCATCATTTGAATTGATAATAGAGATTAATTGAGAACATAAGAGATGGGACAGCACCAGGACCACTATTTTAAGAAGAGGGATACAGATTTGTTGTATTGAAATTAATTGAAATGATAATTTTCATGTTATGGTAATCTTAATTTAGATGACAGTTTATCAAACATACAGTATATATACACATCTAATGCATTTAGATGCAATATTATGAAGACAAATATTTTACTTGTGAGAATAACATGTCATTTTGATTTCATTGTGACTCCTTTTTTCAGGCCCTGTGGAAACTGTGGATCAGTGACAGGATCTGCTCAGCAACCTGTACATCAGTTCCAAGAGCTATTTCAGTCTCTCGTCATGCTTACCTGTCCTTTAATAATATGCATGAAGCGGGACATGAGCTCAGGACATTCCAGCAGGAAGTGGAAATGGTTGAAGATTATTTTGGGATTCCTGGGAACAATAAATGAGCAACTGTGAGAAAGTGTTTTAAAAGCACAGGCCTAAACATGTAGATGTGCACACATACATAAACACCACTAGCCTTAAACTTAAGGTTAAAGGAGAAGTCTACCTGAAAATGAAACTCTATCATTATTATCTACTATTGTACTATTACTCATCCGTGTGTCATTCCAAACGTATGCCTGTTTGGCTATCTTTAGAAGAAATTCTGAAAGAATTTTAATGCAGCTCTTTCATAGTGCATCTAGCCTAAGTGTTTGAAACAAGAATCGGTGTGTTTAGTTACTATGAGATTATGAGATGCCATTAAAAAATGCACATGAACGCGTAAGCTTCATTGGAGGAGATGCTTTTAAGTTAATAACAAAATTTAGTTTTGGTCAATTTTGTTCATCACACACGAGTTCACAAAACTTTGAATTTACCACATACACTAACTAAGAGTTTTCCCTGAACAAACTCCAAAATTGCTACTTATTAATAGTTAATAAGGTAGTTGTTAAGGTTAGGTATGGAGTCGGATTAAGGGATCTAAAATATGGACATGCAGAATAAGGCATTAATATGTGCTTTATAAGTACTAATAAACAGCCAATATGCTAGTAATATGCATGCTAATAAGAAACTAGTTAATAGTGAGAATTGGACCTTAAAATAAAGTGTTACCAACTTTTGCTCAAGGCAGCATTTACATGATAAGGAATACAGTAAAAACTGTAATATTTTGAAATATTCTAGTTTTCTATTCTAATATATTAAGCTACATTTTCAGCCATTACTCCAGTCGTCAGTGTCACGTGATCCTTCATTCTAACATGCTGATTTGCTGTTCAAGAAACATTTCTTATTATATGCTGCTTAATGTTTTTTTCGTGGAAACTGTGATTTAATGCGTTCAAGCGGCACAAAAGTATTAATTTCTTTAAAAAAAAAAACATCTTACGGACCCAAAACTTTTTCAGTGATTGTGTACATCTTCTCCAGCTAGCATGTA